CCTCCCCATTCCCAGACCCCGCCAGGTCTCCCGAACCTTCAGAGACACTTCCCTTCTCCCTTCAGAGTTTCCGGACACTCCCGCCCCTCGCAGTCCTCCGTGCCCTCGCCCATCGCCGGGCACCCCGCGCCCTCCCCGGGGCCCACAGCGCCCCTGCGGGCGCGGCCCTCCGACCTGCCTCCGCGCCTCCCGCAGCCCCTGCAGCCTCTGGCCTAGCTCCCGCCGGTAGCTCTGCGCCGCCTCCACGCTCTCGCGGGCCTCCTGCAGCAGCAGCTCGGGCTCCAGCTCCATCGTCCCCTCGTCCGGCCGCGCGGCCGGCGGCTGCGGGCGCGGTTGCCGACTGTCCCAGGCGCCGCCGAGCGGCCCCGAGCGGCCACGCGCAGGCGGAAGCACCGCCCCGCCCCGCCCCACGGCGGCCTTGATTGACAGCAGCGCTCAACGAGCGTCCGGGGCCAGGCGCCCCCCGCGCTCAGGCCCAGCTGGTCTCAGCTCAGCTCCCAAGCAGCACCTGCCAGTGATGCTTCCTCGGGGCACGCATGGAGCCAGGGAAAGATTAATGACTACACCTCACGAAGTGCTTCCCGCCCCTTATCTTATTCTGGCCTCACTACGAGGCCTCCTTGTACCTCTATCCCACAGAGGAGAAAACTGTGGGACAGAGAGGAGAATCAACTTTCTCAAGCCGTCGGGATTTCAACCTGGATGGGTCTTGAATCATCATTGTCCTACCTCCCTAGTAAACGAGCATCCCTGCAGTGGCTAGTGTTTTAGGAGGTTACTGTGAATCAGGCACCACGCTCACAGGAATCAAAGGCCCCATCACTCAGAAGCTCGTAGTCTAATGAGGGAGCCAAGACAGAGGCCTAAGCGTGGGCCAGTGGTAGGTACCTAAATCCTGGCAGAGCTGCAAGGCGGATGTTATCAAACTTTCCTGTGTGGGCCAGGTAATTGAAAATGTGGAGCTCGGTGGGCCATAAGGCCTCTGTTGCAATATAGTGAGTAAATGAGTGTGACCGTGTGCTAATAAAACTTATGGACACAAATTTGAATGTCACATAATTGTCACATGTCAAAAAATATTCTCTGCATCTTTTTTTTTTTTTTTTTGGTACGCGGGCCTCTCAGTGTTGTGGCCTCTCCCGTTGCGGAGCACAGGCTCCGCACGCGCAGGCTCAGCGGCCATGGCTCACGGGCCTAGCCGCTCCGTGGCATGTGGGATCTTCCCACACCAGGGCAGGAACCCATGTCCCCTTCATTGGCAGGCGGACCCTCAACCACTGCGCCACCAGGGAAGACTTCTTTGCATCTTTTTTCAACTACTTAAAAAGGTGAAAACCATTCTTCGTTCAGGGGCCATACAAAAACAGATGGTGGGTCAGATGTGGCCTTGGCCATAGTTTTTTGTTTTTTGTTTTTTTAAAGTTTTTACTGGAGTATAGTTGATTTACAATGTTGTGTTACTTTCAGGTGTATAGCAAAGTGAATCAGTTATACATATATCTATATCCACTCTTTTTTAGATTCTTTTCCATATAGGCCATTACAGTGTATTCAGTAGAGTTCCCTGTGCTATCCAGTAGGTCCTTACCAGTTATCTGTTTTATATATCCTAGTGTGTCAATCCCAATCTCCCAGTTTATCCCTCCCCCCTTCTCCCCTCTGGCCATAGTTTGCTGACCCCTGGCTGAGGATGGCAGAGTTGCCTCCCCAGGAAACAAAAACAGAACAGTGATTGTCTCAAGGTTACACAATGAATCTGTGCTAGAGGCTAGACTGCAGTTTTCCTGGGCCAGACTAAAGCTCTTTCTACCACATTGCTTGGTGCTAAGTAAATGACACTTGAAATTAGGGAAGTTTAGAAAATGAAGGCTCTTCTGGAGAAAATGGGAGATTATTTTTATCCTAAAGTAGTAAGGCACTAAGTAAATGCTCAACAAATACCTGTGGAATGAATCAAGGCATTAACTAAACAAAAAGGAGTAAGTAAAGGCACCCCAGGTAAGATAAAACTAAGGAAAGGGTATAAGGACTTGCAGACAGGAATATAAATGGATTGTGTAAGGAAGGAGGAGCAGACCACTTTGCCTGGAGAGGAAGGACAGAATAATATATTGGGAGATGAAGTTAAGAGAAAAGTAAGGGCCCTGGCGTTCAGGTTAAGAAGCTTTGGGCTTCCCTGGTGGCGCAATGGTTGAGAATCCACCTGCTGATGCAGGGAACACGGGTTCGTGCCCCGGTCCAGGAAGATCCCACATGCAGCGGAGCGGCTGGGCCCCATGAGCCATGTCCGCTGAGCCTGCGCATCCAGAGCCTGTGCTCCGCAACGGCAGAGGCCACATCAGTGAGAGGCCCGCGTACTGCAAAAAAAAAAGAAGCTTTGACTTTGATGAATAGACATTAAAGATTTTTGCATGTGCAGTGACATTTGCAAAACAATGTTTTAGGAAGGTAAATGATAGAGAGGTGGGACTTGGGTTTGTCTTAAGGTAAGGCAGGGGTTGGCATACTGTAAATTCTCAATAAATATTTGTTCAGTGAAATGAATATGCATGAGATAACTAGAGGGGAGTAAATAGGCAGAACTAAATGGCGTTAGTCTAGTTATGATATGATGCAGACTTGAATTAGGATGTTGGCTTTTACAGAGTTTTGGGGTCTTTGTTTGTTTGTTATTAATTTATTTATTTTTGGCTGTGTTGAGTCTTCGTCGCTGCGTGCAGGCTTTCTCTAGTTGTGGCGAGTGGGGACTACTCTTCGTTGCGGCGCACGGGCTTCTCACTGCGGTGGCTTCTCTTGTTGCGGAGCACGGGCTCTAGGCAACCGGGCTTCAGTAGTTGCAGCACGCGGGCTCAGTAGTTGTGGCGCACGGGCTTAGTTGCTCCGCGACATGTGGGATCTTCCCAGACCAGGGCTCGAACCCATGTCCCCTGCATTGGCAGGCGGATTCTTAACCACTGTGCCACCAGGGAAGCCCTTGTATGGAGTTTTGACAGTGAGAGCAGGGGGAAAGATAGGCAAATGATTCAAGGGTACAGGAGAGTTTGGACACACATTGAGTCAGTAAAAAACAGGATTTATTCATTGTTCCTGAACATGATATGTTCTGTGTGCTCTCTAAAGCTAATTGAACAGAATTGGCTCCCACTCCAGAAAGCTTTACTAAGTGAAATTAAAAAAAAAAAATTAAAAGGAAAACTTCCATAAAGACAAGCTACCAATCTTAGTCTCATTCAACTTTATTTCCTTGACCTACTAACTGATGGGAGGCAGGAAATGTGTATCTAATATATCCACACTACCCACAAAAATAACAAGAAGAAAACTGAAGTAAAGATGTAAAACTGCGCCCCCAGGCTCTAAATTTTTTTATTTTTTTATTTTTTTAACTTTAGAGCACAAGTTTCTGAAGAGTAAATGCTCTGGTCAATAACAGAGAGGAAGATTGATCTAGAGGTGGTGATGACAGAAGCCAGCAGGCCATCAGACAGGGCTTTACAGAGTTTTTAATCTCCGTGTCACCACATTAGTCTAGCACTGACTTGAATTTCAAGAGTACCCAGAGGTGAGCAGATTCAGAGGCACAGACTCCTCATGCTACAAGAAACAAAGACCTTGGGTTTCCCTGGTGGCGCAGTGGTTGAGAGTCCGCCTGCAGAGGGAGAGGACACGGGTTTGAGCCCCGGTCCGCGAAGGTCCCACATGCCGCTGAGCGGCTGGGCCCGTGAGCCATGGCCGCTGAGCCTGCACGTCCGGAGCCTGTGCTCCGCAACGGGAGAGGCCACAAGAGTGAGAAGCCCGCGTACCGCAAAAACAAAAAAGAAACAAAGGACTTGCTAATTGATTTATTTATGATAAGAATATAATTGCGGGGCTTCCCTGGTGGTACAGTGGTTGGGAATCTGCCTGCCAAAGCAGGGGACACGGGTTCAAGCCCTGGTCTGGGAAAATCCCACATGCCGCGGAGCAACTAAGCCCGTGTGCCACAACTACTGAGCTTGCATTCTAGAGCCCGTGAGACACAACTACTGAGCCCACATGTCATAACTACTGAAGCCTGCGCACCTAGAGCTCATGCTCCACGGCAAGAGAAGCCACCGTAATGAGAAGCCTGCGCACCACAACAAAGAGTAGTCCCCACTCGCCACAACTAAAGAAAGCCTGAACGCAACAACAAAGACCCAACGGAGCCAAAAATTAATTAATTAATTAACTTTTTAAAAAAGCACTGAAGTTTAAGTTAGGAGACTTGGCTAAACATTGTAACTTTGGAAACATGTGTGAGCTACATTTCTCTAAATCGACAATAATGTAAATGTCTTCCTCACAGGACTCATGCAAAGGCTGAATAGTATGGCCAGGTAAAAGCACACATTTATTTACAAAATATCTAAAGAGTACAAGGTATGTGTCTGGCTCTGTGCTTAGGTGCTGGGAATCAAATCAGGAATGAGACCTAGGACTTGCCTTCATAGTCCAGTAGGGGCATCACTCACACATAAGCAGGAATTTATATTCTAATATATTGAATGCAATGAGTAGAAGCACAGAGGCCACCTAATCCAGCCTAAGGTAAAGTGGAAGGAAGAAGGTATCAGGAAAAGTTTCTTGAACAAGGTAAACCGTAAACTGAGTCTTAAGGCTTTTCTTGGCTTGGCCACAGGTGCTTCTCTCCTTTCCCTTCCAAAACCCCATAAAAATAACAATTAAGGGATTTAAAACTGGATTAGGAAAACAAATGGATTAGGGACAAATGGAACAGTAGAGAACACAAAAGAGCACTAGAGAGTTCCATAAATTTTTGGAAGATGGAAAGTGGAGTAGTAGTAATTGCCCAATAAAACTGCAGGAAGTTACAACCTAAACTTCAGAGGATGAACCATTCAGAATTGGGCTAACTCTCCCCAAAGACTCCTGAGAAACTCATCCTTTTAAAAATTTTAGTCACTTAAAAAAAAATCACAACCCCTATTCTGACATTCCTTTCCTTATCCTACTTCCTGCATTATTTTCTCCTCAGCATTTAGCCCTGTCGTACTATATACTTTACTTATGGATCATTTTTATTACATGTCTCTTCCAACCAGAATATAAATTCTAAAAGGATAGGCATTTTTGTCTGTTTTGTTCACAGCTGCTTTGTTCATAGCTGGCACTCATTTGTATTTATGGAATGGATGGAAGGATGAATAACACAGCACATGAGAATGAGGTATGGAACTGAAAAGGGGAGACATCAGTTAATATTAGAGTTAGATATTTTAGGTCCATTGCCCTATTGCATGCATTTAGGTGATGCCGCCACAAAACTGCATGAGATATAAACACCTCTGCCCCTAAATAGACTGGAGGAGAAACGAAGTGGTCCAGAGAAAAGACCTCCACCTATTAACAT